TGTAGCCTGGGAGTTGGAGTACGCTATATCTGGGATATCCGTAGCGTGAGTGTAGCAAACGCAGCTTGCAGTATTTCTGTATCCTGGGTCTAGAGAGAAGCAGTTTACAAGAGTTCTGTAGCCTGGATGTACAGAGAAGTACTTTACAGAGTTCTGTAGCATGGAAGTAGCAATGCACAATATGCAGGTTTTCCATAACACGAGTGTGGGAGATGCAGCAACGGTTGTTTTGTAACATTGGTGAAGGGCAATGTAGTTGATGAGAGTTCTGTTTCCCTGGTATATAGAAAAGCAGTATACAGTGTTGTGTAGCTTGGGAGTAGCAATACGCGATTTGCGGTTTTGGTGTAGCTTAACTGTAGGAGACGCAGCTTACTGGAGTTCAGTAAGCTGGGTGGTGAGAGATGCAGTTTATGGGATTCTGTACGCTCGGTGTAGTTAGAAGCACTTTACAGAGTTCTGTAGTGTGGGAGTTGCATACGCACTCTGCAGGTTTTCTATAGCCCATGCGGGGGAGTAGCAATATGCAATATGTGGGTTTCCTATAACCTGAATGTGGGAGATGCAGCTCATGTGCTTGTTGTTAGGTTGGGTAGAGAGATGCAGTTTACCAGAATTCTGTATCCTGGGTGTAGAATGAAGGCGTTTACAAGAGTTCTGGAGCCTGGGACTAGCAATACGCAATATGCGGGTTTGCTATGAGCTGTAGAATGAATGCCTGGGGGTAGGCGTTCGCACTGTAAAGGATTTCAGTAACCTGAGTGTTGAGAGAAGCAGTTTGCACCAGTTCTGTAGCCTGGCAGTAGGCATTCCCAATATCTGGGATACCTGTGGCTTATGTGTAGAAGACACAGCTTGTGGTATTTCAGTATCCTGGGTCTTGGGATATGCAGTGTACAAGAGTTCTGTAGCCTGGGAGTAGGAGTACGCAATATCTGGAACATCTGTAGCGTGAGTATAGCAGACACAGCTTGCGGTATTTCTGTATCCTTGGTCTAGAGAGAAGCAGTGTACAAGAGTTCTGTAGTCTGGATGTACAGAGAAGTACTTTACAGAGTTCTGTGGCATGGAAGTAGCAATGCACCATATGCAGGTTTTCCATAACACGAGTGAGGGAGACAAGGTAACGGGGGTTTTGTGACATTGGTGAAGGGCAATGTAGTTGATGAGAGTTCTGTTTCCCTGGTATATGGAAAAGCAGTATACAGTGTTGTGTAGCTTGGGAGTAGCAATACGCGATTTGCGGTTTTTGTGTAGCTTAACTGTAGGAGACGCAGCTTAGGGGAGTTCAGTAAGCTGGGTGGTGAGAGATGCAGTTTATGGGATTCTGTACGCTCGGTGTAGTTAGAAGCACTTTACAGAGTTCTGTAGTGTGGGAGTAGCAATATGCACTCTGCAGGTTTTCTATAGCCCGTGTGTGGGAGATGCAGCTAATGGGTGTTCTGTAACGTGGTTGCAGGGAAATGCAGCCTCCGGGAGTTCTATAAGCTGGGTGTGGAGAGATGCAGTTTATGGGAATTGTGGAAGCTGCTTACAGAGAGAAACAGTTTACCGAGTTCTGTAGCGTGGGAGTAGCAATACACAATATGTGGGTTTCCTATAACCTGAATGTGGGAGATGCAGCTCATGTGCTTGTTGTTAGGTTGGGTAGAGAGATGCAGTTTACCAGAATTCTGTATCCTGGGTGTAGAATGAAGGCGTTTACAAGAGTTCTGGAGCCTGGGACTAGCAATACGCAATATGCGGGTTTGCTATGAGCTGTAGAATGAATGCCTGGGAGTAGGCATTCGCACTGTACAGGATTTCTGTAACCTGGGTATTGAGAGAAGCAGTTTGCACCAGTTCTGTAGCCTGGGAGTAGGCATTCGCAATATCTGGGATATCTGTAGCCTTGGTGCAGCAGACACAGCTTACCGTATTTCTGTATCCTAGGTCTAGAAAGAAGAAGCTTACAAGAGTTCCTGTAGCCTGGGAGTAGACATTCGAAATAAGTGGGATTTCTATAGCCTGAGTGTAGGAGATGCAGCTCACGTGCTTTTTGTGACATTGGGGTAGAGAGATGCAGTTTAACAGAGTTCCGTATCCTGGGTGTAGAATGAAGCAGTTTACAAGAGTTCTGTAGCCTGGGAGTTGGAGTACGCTATATCTGGGATATCCGTAGCGTGAGTGTAGCAAACGCAGCTTGCAGTATTTCTGTATCCTGGGTCTAGAGAGAAGCAGTTTACAAGAGTTCTGTAGCCTGGATGTACAGAGAAGTACTTTACAGAGTTCTGTAGCATGGAAGTAGCAATGCACAATATGCAGGTTTTCCATAACACGAGTGTGGGAGATGCAGCAACGGTTGTTTTGTAACATTGGTGAAGGGCAATGTAGTTGATGAGAGTTCTGTTTCCCTGGTATATAGAAAAGCAGTATACAGTGTTGTGTAGCTTGGGAGTAGCAATACGCGATTTGCGGTTTTGGTGTAGCTTAACTGTAGGAGACGCAGCTTACTGGAGTTCAGTAAGCTGGGTGGTGAGAGATGCAGTTTATGGGATTCTGTACGCTCGGTGTAGTTAGAAGCACTTTACAGAGTTCTGTAGTGTGGGAGTTGCATACGCACTCTGCAGGTTTTCTATAGCCCATGCGGGGGAGTAGCAATATGCAATATGTGGGTTTCCTATAACCTGAATGTGGGAGATGCAGCTCATGTGCTTGTTGTTAGGTTGGGTAGAGAGATGCAGTTTACCAGAATTCTGTATCCTGGGTGTAGAATGAAGGCGTTTACAAGAGTTCTGGAGCCTGGGACTAGCAATACGCAATATGCGGGTTTGCTATGAGCTGTAGAATGAATGCCTGGGGGTAGGCGTTCGCACTGTAAAGGATTTCAGTAACCTGAGTGTTGAGAGAAGCAGTTTGCACCAGTTCTGTAGCCTGGCAGTAGGCATTCCCAATATCTGGGATACCTGTGGCTTATGTGTAGAAGACACAGCTTGTGGTATTTCAGTATCCTGGGTCTTGGGATATGCAGTGTACAAGAGTTCTGTAGCCTGGGAGTAGGAGTACGCAATATCTGGAACATCTGTAGCGTGAGTATAGCAGACACAGCTTGCGGTATTTCTGTATCCTTGGTCTAGAGAGAAGCAGTGTACAAGAGTTCTGTAGTCTGGATGTACAGAGAAGTACTTTACAGAGTTCTGTGGCATGGAAGTAGCAATGCACCATATGCAGGTTTTCCATAACACGAGTGAGGGAGACAAGGTAACGGGGGTTTTGTGACATTGGTGAAGGGCAATGTAGTTGATGAGAGTTCTGTTTCCCTGGTATATGGAAAAGCAGTATACAGTGTTGTGTAGCTTGGGAGTAGCAATACGCGATTTGCGGTTTTTGTGTAGCTTAACTGTAGGAGACGCAGCTTAGGGGAGTTCAGTAAGCTGGGTGGTGAGAGATGCAGTTTATGGGATTCTGTACGCTCGGTGTAGTTAGAAGCACTTTACAGAGTTCTGTAGTGTGGGAGTAGCAATATGCACTCTGCAGGTTTTCTATAGCCCGTGTGTGGGAGATGCAGCTAATGGGTGTTCTGTAACGTGGTTGCAGGGAAATGCAGCCTCCGGGAGTTCTATAAGCTGGGTGTGGAGAGATGCAGTTTATGGGAATTGTGGAAGCTGCTTACAGAGAGAAACAGTTTACCGAGTTCTGTAGCGTGGGAGTAGCAATACACAATATGTGGGTTTCCTATAACCTGAATGTGGGAGATGCAGCTCATGTGCTTGTTGTTAGGTTGGGTAGAGAGATGCAGTTTACCAGAATTCTGTATCCTGGGTGTAGAATGAAGGCGTTTACAAGAGTTCTGGAGCCTGGGACTAGCAATACGCAATATGCGGGTTTGCTATGAGCTGTAGAATGAATGCCTGGGAGTAGGCATTCGCACTGTACAGGATTTCTGTAACCTGGGTATTGAGAGAAGCAGTTTGCACCAGTTCTGTAGCCTGGGAGTAGGCATTCGCAATATCTGGGATATCTGTAGCCTTGGTGCAGCAGACACAGCTTACCGTATTTCTGTATCCTAGGTCTAGAAAGAAGAAGCTTACAAGAGTTCTGTAGCCTGGGAGTAGACATTCGAAATAAGTGGGATTTCTATAGCCTGAGTGTAGGAGATGCAGCTCACGTGCTTTTTGTGACATTGGGGTAGAGAGATGCAGTTTAACAGAGTTCCGTATCCTGGGTGTAGAATGAAGCAGTTTACAAGAGTTCTGTAGCCTGGGAGTTGGAGTACGCTATATCTGGGATATCCGTAGCGTGAGTGTAGCAAACGCAGCTTGCAGTATTTCTGTATCCTGGGTCTAGAGAGAAGCAGTTTACAAGAGTTCTGTAGCCTGGATGTACAGAGAAGTACTTTACAGAGTTCTGTAGCATGGAAGTAGCAATGCACAATATGCAGGTTTTCCATAACACGAGTGTGGGAGATGCAGCAACGGTTGTTTTGTAACATTGGTGAAGGGCAATGTAGTTGATGAGAGTTCTGTTTCCCTGGTATATAGAAAAGCAGTATACAGTGTTGTGTAGCTTGGGAGTAGCAATACGCGATTTGCGGTTTTGGTGTAGCTTAACTGTAGGAGACGCAGCTTACTGGAGTTCAGTAAGCTGGGTGGTGAGAGATGCAGTTTATGGGATTCTGTACGCTCGGTGTAGTTAGAAGCACTTTACAGAGTTCTGTAGTGTGGGAGTTGCATACGCACTCTGCAGGTTTTCTATAGCCCATGCGGGGACAGCTGGGGGGAGTAGCAATATGCAATATGTGGGTTTCCTATAACCTGAATGTGGGAGATGCAGCTCATGTGCTTGTTGTTAGGTTGGGTAGAGAGATGCAGTTTACCAGAATTCTGTATCCTGGGTGTAGAATGAAGGCGTTTACAAGAGTTCTGGAGCCTGGGACTAGCAATACGCAATATGCGGGTTTGCTATGAGCTGTAGAATGAATGCCTGGGGTAGGCGTTCGCACTGTAAAGGATTTCAGTAACCTGAGTGTTGAGAGAAGCAGTTTGCACCAGTTCTGTAGCCTGGGAGTAGGCATTCCCAATATCTGGGATACCTGTGGCTTATGTGTAGAAGACACAGCTTGTGGTATTTCAGTATCCTGGGTCTTGGGATATGCAGTGTACAAGAGTTCTGTAGCCTGGGAGTAGACATTCGAAATAAGTGGGATTTCTATAGCCTGAGTGTAGGAGATGCAGCTCACGTGCTTTTTGTGACATTGGGGTAGAGAGATGCAGTTTAACAGAGTTCCGTATCCTGGGTGTAGAATGAAGCAGTTTACAAGAGTTCTGTAGCCTGGGAGTTGGAGTACGCTATATCTGGGATATCCGTAGCGTGAGTGTAGCAAACGCAGCTTGCAGTATTTCTGTATCCTGGGTCTAGAGAGAAGCAGTTTACAAGAGTTCTGTAGCCTGGATGTACAGAGAAGTACTTTACAGAGTTCTGTAGCATGGAAGTAGCAATGCACAATATGCAGGTTTTCCATAACACGAGTGTGGGAGATGCAGCAACGGTTGTTTTGTAACATTGGTGAAGGGCAATGTAGTTGATGAGAGTTCTGTTTCCCTGGTATATAGAAAAGCAGTATACAGTGTTGTGTAGCTTGGGAGTAGCAATACGCGATTTGCGGTTTTGGTGTAGCTTAACTGTAGGAGACGCAGCTTACTGGAGTTCAGTAAGCTGGGTGGTGAGAGATGCAGTTTATGGGATTCTGTACGCTCGGTGTAGTTAGAAGCACTTTACAGAGTTCTGTAGTGTGGGAGTTGCATACGCACTCTGCAGGTTTTCTATAGCCCATGCGGGGGAGTAGCAATATGCAATATGTGGGTTTCCTATAACCTGAATGTGGGAGATGCAGCTCATGTGCTTGTTGTTAGGTTGGGTAGAGAGATGCAGTTTACCAGAATTCTGTATCCTGGGTGTAGAATGAAGGCGTTTACAAGAGTTCTGGAGCCTGGGACTAGCAATACGCAATATGCGGGTTTGCTATGAGCTGTAGAATGAATGCCTGGGGGTAGGCGTTCGCACTGTAAAGGATTTCAGTAACCTGAGTGTTGAGAGAAGCAGTTTGCACCAGTTCTGTAGCCTGGGAGTAGGCATTCCCAATATCTGGGATACCTGTGGCTTATGTGTAGAAGACACAGCTTGTGGTATTTCAGTATCCTGGGTCTTGGGATATGCAGTGTACAAGAGTTCTGTAGCCTGGGAGTAGGAGTACGCAATATCTGGAACATCTGTAGCGTGAGTATAGCAGACACAGCTTGCGGTATTTCTGTATCCTTGGTCTAGAGAGAAGCAGTGTACAAGAGTTCTGTAGTCTGGATGTACAGAGAAGTACTTTACAGAGTTCTGTAGCATGGAAGTAGCAATGCACCATATGCAGGTTTTCCATAACACGAGTGAGGGAGACAAGGTAACGGGGGTTTTGTGACATTGGTGAAGGGCAATGTAGTTGATGAGAGTTCTGTTTCCCTGGTATATGGAAAAGCAGTATACAGTGTTGTGTAGCTTGGGAGTAGCAATACGCGATTTGCGGTTTTTGTGTAGCTTAACTGTAGGAGACGCAGCTTAGGGGAGTTCAGTAAGCTGGGTGGTGAGAGATGCAGTTTATGGGATTCTGTACGCTCGGTGTAGTTAGAAGCACTTTACAGAGTTCTGTAGTGTGGGAGTAGCAATATGCACTCTGCAGGTTTTCTATAGCCCGTGTGTGGGAGATGCAGCTAATGGGTGTTCTGTAACGTGGTTGCAGGGAAATGCAGCCTCCGGGAGTTCTATAAGCTGGGTGTGGAGAGATGCAGTTTATGGGAATTGTGGAAGCTGCTTACAGAGAGAAACAGTTTACCGAGTTCTGTAGCGTGGGAGTAGCAATACACAATATGTGGGTTTCCTATAACCTGAATGTGGGAGATGCAGCTCATGTGCTTGTTGTTAGGTTGGGTAGAGAGATGCAGTTTACCAGAATTCTGTATCCTGGGTGTAGAATGAAGGCGTTTACAAGAGTTCTGGAGCCTGGGACTAGCAATACGCAATATGCGGGTTTGCTATGAGCTGTAGAATGAATGCCTGGGAGTAGGCATTCGCACTGTACAGGATTTCTGTAACCTGGGTATTGAGAGAAGCAGTTTGCACCAGTTCTGTAGCCTGGGAGTAGGCATTCGCAATATCTGGGATATCTGTAGCCTTGGTGCAGCAGACACAGCTTACCGTATTTCTGTATCCTAGGTCTAGAAAGAAGAAGCTTACAAGAGTTCTGTAGCCTGGGAGTAGACATTCGAAATAAGTGGGATTTCTATAGCCTGAGTGTAGGAGATGCAGCTCACGTGCTTTTTGTGACATTGGGGTAGAGAGATGCAGTTTAACAGAGTTCCGTATCCTGGGTGTAGAATGAAGCAGTTTACAAGAGTTCTGTAGCCTGGGAGTTGGAGTACGCTATATCTGGGATATCCGTAGCGTGAGTGTAGCAAACGCAGCTTGCAGTATTTCTGTATCCTGGGTCTAGAGAGAAGCAGTTTACAAGAGTTCTGTAGCCTGGATGTACAGAGAAGTACTTTACAGAGTTCTGTAGCATGGAAGTAGCAATGCACAATATGCAGGTTTTCCATAACACGAGTGTGGGAGATGCAGCAACGGTTGTTTTGTAACATTGGTGAAGGGCAATGTAGTTGATGAGAGTTCTGTTTCCCTGGTATATAGAAAAGCAGTATACAGTGTTGTGTAGCTTGGGAGTAGCAATACGCGATTTGCGGTTTTGGTGTAGCTTAACTGTAGGAGACGCAGCTTACTGGAGTTCAGTAAGCTGGGTGGTGAGAGATGCAGTTTATGGGATTCTGTACGCTCGGTGTAGTTAGAAGCACTTTACAGAGTTCTGTAGTGTGGGAGTTGCATACGCACTCTGCAGGTTTTCTATAGCCCATGCGGGGGAGTAGCAATATGCAATATGTGGGTTTCCTATAACCTGAATGTGGGAGATGCAGCTCATGTGCTTGTTGTTAGGTTGGGTAGAGAGATGCAGTTTACCAGAATTCTGTATCCTGGGTGTAGAATGAAGGCGTTTACAAGAGTTCTGGAGCCTGGGACTAGCAATACGCAATATGCGGGTTTGCTATGAGCTGTAGAATGAATGCCTGGGAGTAGGCATTCGCACTGTACAGGATTTCTGTAACCTGGGTATTGAGAGAAGCAGTTTGCACCAGTTCTGTAGCCTGGGAGTAGGCATTCGCAATATCTGGGATATCTGTAGCCTTGGTGCAGCAGACACAGCTTACCGTATTTCTGTATCCTAGGTCTAGAAAGAAGAAGCTTACAAGAGTTCTGTAGCCTGGGAGTAGACATTCGAAATAAGTGGGATTTCTATAGCCTGAGTGTAGGAGATGCAGCTCACGTGCTTTTTGTGACATTGGGGTAGAGAGATGCAGTTTAACAGAGTTCCGTATCCTGGGTGTAGAATGAAGCAGTTTACAAGAGTTCTGTAGCCTGGGAGTTGGAGTACGCTATATCTGGGATATCCGTAGCGTGAGTGTAGCAAACGCAGCTTGCAGTATTTCTGTATCCTGGGTCTAGAGAGAAGCAGTTTACAAGAGTTCTGTAGCCTGGATGTACAGAGAAGTACTTTACAGAGTTCTGTAGCATGGAAGTAGCAATGCACAATATGCAGGTTTTCCATAACACGAGTGTGGGAGATGCAGCAACGGTTGTTTTGTAACATTGGTGAAGGGCAATGTAGTTGATGAGAGTTCTGTTTCCCTGGTATATAGAAAAGCAGTATACAGTGTTGTGTAGCTTGGGAGTAGCAATACGCGATTTGCGGTTTTGGTGTAGCTTAACTGTAGGAGACGCAGCTTACTGGAGTTCAGTAAGCTGGGTGGTGAGAGATGCAGTTTATGGGATTCTGTACGCTCGGTGTAGTTAGAAGCACTTTACAGAGTTCTGTAGTGTGGGAGTTGCATACGCACTCTGCAGGTTTTCTATAGCCCATGCGGGGGAGTAGCAATATGCAATATGTGGGTTTCCTATAACCTGAATGTGGGAGATGCAGCTCATGTGCTTGTTGTTAGGTTGGGTAGAGAGATGCAGTTTACCAGAATTCTGTATCCTGGGTGTAGAATGAAGGCGTTTACAAGAGTTCTGGAGCCTGGGACTAGCAATACGCAATATGCGGGTTTGCTATGAGCTGTAGAATGAATGCCTGGGGGTAGGCGTTCGCACTGTAAAGGATTTCAGTAACCTGAGTGTTGAGAGAAGCAGTTTGCACCAGTTCTGTAGCCTGGCAGTAGGCATTCCCAATATCTGGGATACCTGTGGCTTATGTGTAGAAGACACAGCTTGTGGTATTTCAGTATCCTGGGTCTTGGGATATGCAGTGTACAAGAGTTCTGTAGCCTGGGAGTAGGAGTACGCAATATCTGGAACATCTGTAGCGTGAGTATAGCAGACACAGCTTGCGGTATTTCTGTATCCTTGGTCTAGAGAGAAGCAGTGTACAAGAGTTCTGTAGTCTGGATGTACAGAGAAGTACTTTACAGAGTTCTGTGGCATGGAAGTAGCAATGCACCATATGCAGGTTTTCCATAACACGAGTGAGGGAGACAAGGTAACGGGGGTTTTGTGACATTGGTGAAGGGCAATGTAGTTGATGAGAGTTCTGTTTCCCTGGTATATGGAAAAGCAGTATACAGTGTTGTGTAGCTTGGGAGTAGCAATACGCGATTTGCGGTTTTTGTGTAGCTTAACTGTAGGAGACGCAGCTTAGGGGAGTTCAGTAAGCTGGGTGGTGAGAGATGCAGTTTATGGGATTCTGTACGCTCGGTGTAGTTAGAAGCACTTTACAGAGTTCTGTAGTGTGGGAGTAGCAATATGCACTCTGCAGGTTTTCTATAGCCCGTGTGTGGGAGATGCAGCTAATGGGTGTTCTGTAACGTGGTTGCAGGGAAATGCAGCCTCCGGGAGTTCTATAAGCTGGGTGTGGAGAGATGCAGTTTATGGGAATTGTGGAAGCTGCTTACAGAGAGAAACAGTTTACCGAGTTCTGTAGCGTGGGAGTAGCAATACACAATATGT